ACAATTATCTAATGGAGAAACATTAAAAGCAATTACTTTTAGCTAGTTAATTTCCTGAAAATGATTTTAAATGATGTATGCATAAACAAAAATGTGTCCTTTCAACAATACAAACTAATTATAAGTACTGGACACTGTTATATCTCTAATTAAATGATCAAATGAATAATTATATCATTTTAATAGACACATTCTTCACACCTTTATGGTAATCCAAGAGGGGTGTATTTTAATTTTGTTTTAAATAAAATCTTATTATTGGTCAACGATGAGAATTTGATTCAATTTCTGATAAAACTTCAGTTTTTGCCAGATTTTTTTTTCTTTTTGATGCTTGTATACTTAAAATCCGAATATTCGAATCATGAATTTATATTCGAATATGAACTCATCGAATGAATATTCGAATATTCGAATATTCGTTGACATCCCTAATTTCTAATGAAGAATTTTAATAAACTAATTTTAAAGAAAGGTAATATATTAAGAACCCATTCTATACTATACAATTATGGACTTCAGTGTAGGTCGATATGTAGTTATAAGGACTCATGGCAATTGATATTGACCGAAGACAAGGAAAGTGATAGAGACAGAGCCTGTGAGGTCGCTATCATTTTCTGTGTCTGAGGTCAATATCAATATTGCCATGAGTCCTTATAACCACATATTGACCATTCACTGAAGTCCATAATAGTTATATTATATAATCACTCAAAGTGAATGCGCTGACACAGTCCTAACTGAACAGACTCAGCTGTCATTACGTCATAATTAATGGTTAAATTCACACTTCTTACGAGATATACCACGTCACATTCTACGTAACTTTGGTGCAAACGAACAGCGTGTCGTGCGATATCATTTTCCGCGTCGACATCACAAAAGGAGGAATATCACGAGACGTTCTTTCAACCAATGAAAACTACGAAAATAATCTTCTTATATAATATTTTAAATTATCAGGCATATGGATATTGTCTACAGATAGTTCAATTACACATATATGATCGGTATAGTTAAATTACAACAGAACAGTATGATCTGTACAGAGCATTTAGAGACTTAAAGATTTAATGCTATTCCAGAACATGTATTTAAATTCATTTGATATCTGATTCAGAATATTTTATTAAAGGTCATTTACTATCTATATCATTAGAAACCCAATTCTTTATGCATAATGCAGTCAAAAAAATCAACCAGCTTTGCGTTAATAACACTTTAATCCATTCGTGATCAACATCCAAATGATAAATTCCAGTGCAATCAGAGATCATGCTTTAAAATTCTTCAAAGGTCTGACAAGACAAAAATCTTTAGTTTTGTTCGAGTGCATTTTCATAAATTTGAATTGACTGCTGATACACGCATTCAACAGGTGTAATGGATACGTGTATCAAGTATCGTGGCGGACGACAGATCTGTTATCAGAAATTAATGCGTTGTTAGACTTGTTGCCAAAGTTGTCCAAATAAAGTATTAAACAGTGGTATTTAAAGTGTTGTGGCAGAATTTTTTTTTGGATTTGAAGTTAACATTTGTTGCATGTTTAACATAACTGTTTTACCAGAATGTGTACAATGTTTACATTTAAGATAAAATCTTTTTTCTCCTTATTCAACAGTACAAAAAGCTAAAAATTAAATTGTTTTTAATATGTATGTATTGAACTATTCCTTTTTTAATACCTGTAAAAAGGCTTTTCAATACCATGTTCACCAGCCTTTATTTTTCAGTCTCATTATACTGCAGCATTATCATTTTAATTATTCCTATTCATACAAGAATTACAAAAATTATTCTAATTAAAAATTTCATTTTCATGATCTTTCTAATGCTCTGTTTAGCACTGACCATTTTCATATCATTTTAATTTTTGAAATTTACATAATTACATGTTTGTTTAAATATTATGTATAAATGTACTGAATTAAACCTATACATAGTGTGAAATCACAAATTTTCTTGGGGGTTTAATTTTTGATGTTTTCGAGGTATGAAGAGACCCACGAATTTATGTCCACCATGAAATGTAACAAGAGGCCCATGGGCCACATCACTCACCTGAGCACTAAGGGTAGGAAAAAGAAGAAATTGGTTTTTTATTGTAAAGTTTAAATCCAAAAGTAGTCCCATGACCAATCATGGATTTGCTATTCTTTAGAAAATGATTTTTAAAGAATTTTCCTATATATTTCTATGTAAAACTTTGTCGGCCATTTTGGCCCCGCCCTACCCCCGGGGGTCATGATTTGAAAAAATTTGAATCTACACTACCTGAGAATGTTTTTCCATAAGTTTCATCTTCCCTGGCACAGTGGTTCTTGAGAAGAAGATTTTTAAAATATGCCACCAAATTTTCATTTATTAAAACTTTGGCGTGGCCCTTCATTTGAACAAACTTGAATCCCCTTCACCCAAGGATACTTTGTGGCAAGTTTGGTTGAAATTGGCCCAGCGGTTCTTGAGAAGAACAAAATGTGAAAAGTTTACTCTACCTGAGACGGATGCTTCGGACAAAATATATATATGAGCTTTGAGTTATGGCTTAACAAGAGGCCCATGGGTTATAGGTCACCTGAGCATCATGCAACAACTTTTAAATGAAATTTGGTATATATTTCTAAATGCTGTAACAATTTTGAAAGAGGCACCATTGCTAATCATAACTATACACTTAGCAAATGTTTAGTTTGTTTACTTAATACCCATAAACAGGGTAAGGGAACAAAAACGCATGTCAACTAATCAGTAATATTCAGCAATAAGCAGGAGTGCTCCTACAACAAATGAACCCCTGACCCTAGGTCTACACATTGCACAATTTTTGAAAAGACACACTTGCTTATCAAAAATGTATATATAGGAGCAGATTCAAACAATGGCATTTTTGTATATCATTCTTGGCATCCCTGACCCAGGGGCCTTGAAATTCACAATCTGGAAGAAAAGCCCTTGCACATCATAACCATATAAACAGTTTGTCTACTTATTACCCAGGAGTAGAGAAAATTTTTTTTTATAGATTTAATGTATTTTCACTATATAATCATTATAGAGCCACACCTTAACACCATTACCCTGGGGCATAAAATTCACATCATAAATTCACAAAATCATAAATTTTTAAAGAATTTTCATCATATATATTAGTTTATTTAATACCCAAGCAGAGAAGAAGATTTTCAAAGAATAAATACATTTTCACTATATAATCAATAGAGCCCCGCCTTAACACCAGAACCCCTGATCCTGGTGCCATAAAATTTACAATTTTGGTAAAGGCACTCTTGCTCATCATAACTATGTGCTTAGTTAGTTTATTTAATACCTAGGAGCAGAGAAATGTTTTTACATTTAATGCATTTTCACTATATTCAATGGCCCCCCCCCCCCCCCCACACCAGTGGCCATAAAATTCACAATTTTGGTAGAACTCTTGATCATCATTTTAAAATAATACCCAGGAGCCAGAATTTTCAAAGAATTAATGCATTTTCACTATGTAATCAATAGAGCCCCGCCCTAACACCAGAACCCCTGACCCTGGGGCCATGAATTTCACAATTTTTGTAGAGGACTCAATGCTGATTACAATCATACCAACAGTTTGACTGCTTGATGTCCAGGAGCAAAGAAGAAGATTTTTAAAGTTGCACTAATTTTAGTGGTTTTTGCCCCACCCCCCAGGCCCCAGGGGGGCAGGGACCATGAAATTCACAATTTTTGTTTCCCTTTACCCATAGATGCTATATGCCAAAATAGGTTGAAATTGGTTCAGTGGTTTCAGAGAAGAAGCTGAAAATGTTTAAATGTTAACGCACGACGGACGACGACGGACAAAAACAGATAGCAATAGGTCACCTGAGTTTACTCAGGTGACCTAAAAAGTTACATTCATCACTACTCAACAACTCTTCATCCACGAATTCAAATCCCCAAGAACAATGAATATTTACTCAAACCATGAAAATTTGACCCTATATGCAATGGAATAGAATGAAGATGGCACACATAAACCGAGACAATAGCTTGGTCTTCTCCCTCCCATATTGTCACAAAGACAAAAGCACACTATTCTATATAATCACCATTATGATGGTGGTGGTCTCTGACTCTTAATAAAATACTAACATTGAAATGCTCCCAATGACAAGATTTAAATAACTCATCACTCGGGCTAAATTTAAAATCACACAGTTGACATCCCCTATTGTTTGCAGAGAACTGTATTTAAACAAAATATCAATACTGAAATTTGCGTGGTGATTAATTATGGGCCACATAAAATCATCATTTTGTCAGATTCCACAAAAGATCCTTGGCACGCTTTGTTTTCAATGATAAGGACCAAATTTATTTCTCATTTAGCAAGTCATCTCCTTTAGAAATCTCTGATTTGATCAGACTTGCATATGTCATAGCCTTTTAACTTTGGTGCAATTAACCAAAAAGAATCAAAATTTTAAATATACAATCATGTTACAACATTTGCCTATTTAAGCACCCAGGCCACTGAAAAAGCAAACTGGGCTGGGAAAGAACTGCCCGATTCACATTTTAATGAAAGACATCTGGAAGGGTTGGCTTATACAGAAATACAGAGAATACACCAAACAGTTTCAGATTCTTAAAGAATACATGTATTTCCTAATTTTTTATTTACAAGTATCAACTTTATAAAATTTGCAAACTGGAAAAAAAGTTATTGTTTGCCATCACCAAAACTCAAAACTGTTGATAACTTTCATATAAAATTCATCAATAAATGATATGCAAATATTTTTTCCATTTCTATCTGTTTTCTCTATGATAACTCTTTGAAAGTCAATTGATTTGATTTTTTTTTAAATTCAACCGGAATGTAAATTTTGCCAAACAAAAGGTCAATGCTAAGGAGGCCTAATATACATGTAAATCTCATGCGGCTGTCTTTATATCTGACATCAGTGAGTGGGGACTATTGAAATTGACATGTGTCTTTGTATGCTACTTACCAAATCTTCTCCACTCAATGAGGACCCTGCCCTCTGAATTCTGTGGTAATCATATGATGTATTTCTGCCACCAGACCTGTGAAAAAAAGCAGAATATTTTTAATTCAGTTCTTTGCAGGTTTCTACTATGAAGTTCCAGAGACCTTTACAGTAACCTGGATAAGATGCAGTATTTGTTTGGAGAGTTAATAGTTCTGGTCTTTTTTTAAAGACATTTTTATCAAATTAATATGTGAAACTCTTGTGAGGCCTACCCAGTCTTAATATCGATGATTTAAACAATATCTTGAATCTAAATAACATTTCAATCGACAATATTGCAAGCAAATGATATTTTTAACCCAGAAACTATGTTTTTTCAACATTAAAAAATTATGTACAGAGGCTCCATATTTTTTTTTTACAACTTAGATCACTCATATCAAAATGATACTTATTCTGAACACATTTAGAGGGGGTTTGAATATTAGTGATATGTTTAAAACTACCATACATTTCATAAAAGATATATCAAGTAAGCATAATTAAATCATACTCATTCACCAGATTTTTAGAAATTTCCATGATTTTCCGTTAAGTGTGGTAATAAATATTTTTTTTTCCTATTGGATATTATGTCCTGGCAGAGTGAGTAATTTCTGGATTGCAAGTTGAAAAGTAACTGGTCAAATGGTGGTGTAGATACATACAGGATGAAAGGGAAGTAATTCAATCAACCTTACCCATAGTATTTCTGCAGACTTCCAGACATAATGGCTTGTTCCATCGCCCTCTTCTTCTGGTGCTTTTTGAAGGATCTGTAGATCATCTCAAAGTCATTGTGCTGTAGGTGTACAAATATATCTACATAAATTACATGTACCTACGGTATATACTTACATTTTACGTCTATAATGATTTTAGGTGACAATAAAACATGACTAAAGTCAATTGCTTCAAAATTCTTATTGTTCTATCTGTTACTTCTTTCAATTTCATCTGAACTTAGATGATCCTAACATAAATCACACTCATCAAAGGTTATATTGTCAATGAGCCATTTATTTTGAGGTCAAATATAGTCTAAGTGTTGTTTTTATGATTTTTGGTCCTATATTCCACATTCCCTAAGGGGCAGTGCCCAATCACAATTGTTTTCATTCTTTGCCATATATTTGCTCTGTAACAAATTTAGTTGAAATAGTACAGTGGTGCATGAGAGAAAGCTGAAATTGTTTAAAAGTTTACAGCAAGTGAGTGAAGGACAGCACATGTCTACAGACAAAAAAGATAGCAATAGGTCAGCTGAAACATACAAAAATAGAAGAAAGATAATACAGACACTAGATATAATGCCCAGGCCCCAAGACTATAAACTAAGGACAGACTTAAGTCAAAATTTCAAACCAATTTAACCTTTAAAATAATTTTGATAATGAAATAAAATTTTCATCATAGGTTTAAATTTTACTGGTACATGTATACAAAATTGAAAATTTTTAAGCAAATATGGTAAATAAAAATAAAACTCAAGATATTAAAAATCAAGACTTAAGTCAATTATCAGTTTATGGTCATGGGGCCTGGGCTTATTTATGGTAGAGCATTTAAAAAATTCTTGCACAGCAAAGAAGTTTTATGGAAAAAATCAGCCACCTGTAACAATTTCTGAATTTTAAGCAATGAAGAAATCACCAAAACTACTCCCTAAGCCAACATCAGACCTGTAACAATGAATCTTGGCTGTTATTGTCATTTTACAAGTGTGACAGTTTGCATGACCTATGTTGTGTGCTGGTTAGATTTAATGTTGTGGACAATGAAATCAATACTAATTTGCATACGAAACTAGGAATACAACAATACCCTTATAATACTGGCCAATCACACTGAAGGGTTGTTTACCAGTACGGTTTTTGTAGTCACCAGCAACACGTGGTCAGTCAAAGCCCGTTTTATTTCTTTCCTCAGAAAAGCATGTATTATATTTGTTGTCAGCTGTACCATGGGTTTTTCAAAAGGTATAAGACGCCATTAATGGCCTTATAAAACCACAAAGTACCCTTTAAGGCCTTTACACTAGCTGGTATATGTATGCTCTGTTATGTAACAGAAGATATATAGAAAATCAGGAAGATTGTGGAAACTATTCAGTCAGACACTTCATGTTACTCTAATTATAATTGTCTTCTTAAAGGATTAAAAACTGCATACAGACGTGTACTATATTTCTAAACATCTTGATTTGATCACTTCTAACAAATGCACTTTTCAATATATAGAAGTATCTTTAAATGATTCTACTCATTAAATTACATGTATCAAGAACCCATTCTCTGTTTCAGTGTAAGAAATGGGCACCTACATGTAAATATTGTATTTCTTAAAGTAATGGCACATACCACAAGAATACATTGTGGTAAAAGGAAAATATGCAGGCCCTCAATTAAGTCACATTGCAGCATAATGACTTACCTGAAGATTCAATGCAACTTTTAAACTTGTTAGTACCATTTCTAACAACACAGTATTTTTAGTAACAAAGTTACAAGTTAACTTAAGAACATGTGCATGTACCTTCATGTTACCTTCAGAAACATAGAATTTCTAGGTAGATATTACCTTGGGTTCTTTGTATATCATGCCACTCACAGAAGACACAAAATCTGCAACCATGTTTAATATCACATTCATCTGGAATGGAAAAATTGCAATCAACTCTGAACAATACATCCTGAGAGTCACAATAAAATACCTATAAACATGATTAGCATGGACACAATACGCGAGTTTCAAGATTGTAACTCTCCTATGATAAAGGCGCAAAAAGTATCCATCTCAGCATGGAGGTGGGACAGGTTGTTTCTGTATACAAACATGCATAAATAAATGAACAATATTTATGGCTTTTAAATTTATTAAATGTTATAGAAAGATTATAATGTTAAGCAGTGATGCATTTGATGATTTTATCAAGCTAAACTTTGCATATTTACAAATCTACTTTCAATTATAGGGTACTTGAATATGAAATAAACGTCGAGGTCTTTTTAAAAAGTAACCTATTTTCTTAATTGTACAAACATTTGCTAAAAAGTTAGTGTTTTTTTTTCAAACTTATAATAAGGGAAAGAATCAAAATGTCATTTAGATTGCCGACATGCAATGATCAGATGCATGTGTAACATATTTATTAGAGGTCCATATTCTCTTCCCTCGTCTGAAAAGTCTCACATCAACTGATATTTTCTTTTTTTTTTACGATTTTTTGCTTTAAAAATGATTCTATACATTAATTCAGTTATTCTTGAGTTGTAGAGTGCACCCTGACAATCATTTAGTTATGATAAACCAGTATATCGATAATGCAATGTATCCAATATATAAATATCTGTCCCACCTGTCTGTTTACGCGGCAACGAAACTCCCCTCCTCAACGAAAGAGCGCACCAAGGGAGATAATCTCGAAACTTGCGTATTGGACTTGGAAATCTTTTCTTTTCTTCTTAATTATTTTTCAGGTTCTTTGCAAAAACTTGATGTTTGTAAATTTGTAATGCATACCCTGCTCTGTAAATCTCCGACTTGGGCGAGGACTTTCTCCCTCTGGGATGCTGCCTCGTGATCCACAGGTTGCTCAGTGGAGATGGGATCCTGTCTGGAGAACCTGGTAGGGGCTCTAACTAAAGACGGCAGTTTTGTTTTCTCTTTTCTGCTGAGCTGGAAGGAGATGCAGGTACGTAAAGAGAGACAACTCCTTTGAGAAATAATTTCATAATTTGTCTACAAGAATTATCTTTCCTTGTCATCCAGCAGGATTTAAGTGAAGAGTAACTATTTACTAATTCACATTATAATAAGTTATTTTATTTCTAAGAGTAAGATTTTTAACATTTTAATACCCGTTTCGGCTGAGTCTTTTGTTTTTCTACAGGCAAAACAGCTGTTTTAGGTTTGATTGGTTTTTCTGCTTTCACAGTTTCTCGTTTTATCTGTATTTAAAAAAGTTAGTTATTTTTAAAAAGCAAGGAAAAAACCATATTACTTTAATATCACATAAAGATGTCCTGTAAATCATAATTACCAAAACATATATTTTACAATTAGATAAAAAAAAAAATGGATTCTTTTATATATATTCATTGATGACAATTTTCCCCATCATATCAGAATCCATGAAAGAATCTGTAACTTTGCAGAATATACCCAATAATAAGATTTTAATCCATGTCACATTTTATTTGCGGGTATATAATGCTTCTTCCCTAACCTCCACCTGAGTCTCCTCCTCCACATCTTCCACCTCTGTATTTTCCTCTTCCTGCTCTACAGGTGTTTCTTCCTCCTCTGCTGGGATTTCTGTTGGTTCTATTGGAGCTTCCTGTACAGGGGGAACTTCCTGAACACTTTCTCCTTCCTCCATTTCAACTTCCTTTCTAGGTTCAGGCACTACCGATTGTTGAAAGGGTGGCAGTTTTGGCTCGAATTCAGGAAGTTTCTGTCAAAATATAATTGTAACTCAATCCTTAATAATCTTCCAACCATTTTAAATTGGGGTATTCATTGGAGAATATTTTTAAAAATTTGAAATAAGTCCTGGTGACAATAATTATGATAATTTTAATTCTTAATTCAAACATATACTTAGGTTAAAAGATAATGGATTACATGTACATTGTTTTTTATCACTTAATTCATATTTAAATTTCTGCAAACACTTCAACCCACTACATGATACTGCAATGGTGAATTTACACTCTGTACCTTATTTTCCACAACAATACATTTTATATGTGTTTAATACCATATTTTCTTTTTCTTGTTACCTGGTCAGGAAAGATGTGGTCAGACTGCAGCAATCTCAGGTCCGAAATTTCTCGGAATGCCTCACTTAATTTCATTTCTGTCTCGGCCAACAGTTTCTTGTATTGCTGGACAACATGGGTAAGCTGCTCTATCTCAGCATCTTTAGCCTTTAACTGGTCAGTTGTGTCCTTTATTTCATCACCAGGGACCTTCTGCCAGTAAATTCAAAGTAGAAAAATATAAGAAAAGCAGAGGTGGGCTTTTTCACAAAGTGAAAAAGAATTGAAATTTTGATTATATTTTAAAAATTAGTAGTGCTGGTACTATTGATTGAGCAGCAATTAATACGAAACCTTTTCAGGAGTTACAGCAGGTTTAGCTCTACTGCATTTCTTACAAGGAGGAGGTGGCCTGCTGAAATACACATCCAAATATTTAGTTCATTATTTTGATACAATGCTCTTCCTTATCCAAAACCTAATTTTGACATATATCTTTGCACTCTATTTTAATGTTAAAACATACACATAAAAAGAAGTTACTCTTCCAATGAAACACCAAAATTCAAGGAAGATCTCACCTTGATGCCTTCTTGACAGCAGCTGCTAATTTCTTTATCTCATTTTCCTTGGCCAGTAAATCAGCATTTAATTCATCCACTTTTGTGCTCAAGCTTTTGTTCTCATTTTCCAACTCTGTCAAAGTTGCATCCTAAAGTAAAAGTCATTAAAATTATCAACATATCTAAAGTGCACAATGAATAAGTATGATTTTTATGGTGGCTAAAAGACACTCTTTTAGAATCTATCATTACACATACTACTGCACTAGTATTGAATCTTTCATAATCCTGCTTTGAAACTGCAACACTCTGTCAAAAATTGCTCATTTGTACCCAGAACAGAATCTGACCTAGATATCCTTATGATAAATCTGTATACCAAATTTCATTTCAGTATGTGCAACCTCTGCGAAGAAATGGAAGGGAAATTGTTGGTGGACTAACAGACAGATGGGCAAACAGACAGCAGCAAAGCAATATGCACTCCCTTCTTCTAAAGGGGGCATAAAAATGGAGACAAGAAAATTGTGGTCAAGGTCAAAGGAAGGTTCAAGGAAAAAATGTTCATGAAGTTGAATGGCTGACACCAATCTATTCATGACAGCATAAAATGTTTAATGAAAAAATATCTTGCCTTGACTAACAGTACAGGAGCTAGGTCATCTATAATTTTTTTTTGTTTATAAATGTGAGCACATCAATAAAATGATGCACAATGCATAATAAATTTGCAGATTCTTGCAGGGCACAAACAAAATTTCTATTGCCTAAATTCTAAAACTGTATTGTAATTGATGATATCTACTTAACACTTCATGTGGTTGTTACCTTTAAAATGCATAATATTATTGAAAATTAACAGTATCAAACCAAACAGATTTCTGTTTTTGTCCCTAGTAACTGAGTATTCAGTAATCTGACCTTCCAATGACAACTGGGTTAATGAGGTACTTACTGACAGCCTACTTTTAGTCTTTATCTCAGACATGTTAAAAGGTGTTGAAGTTTTAATCTATAATTCGACCTATATTACTGATTATCGTTTCCCCTTTGGAGCATAACAAATCTCTTCACTATATACAATGTACTGAAATATAATGCATGCGATTAAAGTATCTGAATAGATAGAATTTTATGCACAGTCACTGTACCTTTGCTTCAAGTCTAGGTTCAAATTCCCTCACTTTCAGATCTGTTTCCTTGAGTTCCTAAAGTTCACGTAGAAATTTTTTTTAAAAAGTCTGTTAAATATGCATGAAACTGAAAAGTGCTTGTCAATGAATTGAATGCATCTATAAATAAATGTGACCGAGTCCAGTAAATGTAAATACTGTTATTACTGGGGGTAAATAACTTTCACTAGTAATAATTTGCTTTAAATAATTCCAGAGTGAAAACAATTACACATATGTTTTAAAATGTTTTCTTTTATTCATTTATCCAAATTCTCCTGGTGAAAAAATGGAGAGACAGGTTTAGGACTTTACTTTTCTTTAACTTAATACCAGGATAAGTTTGACTTTCTCAGAAATACTATAATTCAGACAAAACCTACACTACACTACACTGCTCTGTTCGTCTTTTAGTACGTGTTCATTTTACCTTTTTCAGAGCTTCAATGGTGTCTTCCTGCTGCCTTATTCGAGTCCTCAGAATGAAGGGGTCACTGGGCATCTCTTTTGGACCATCATCACGCCCTGACAGCTGTGTTTGAGTTAATGTTCAAATGAATTATAATACCTGACGGTAATTAATTACATAAATATATAGTTAATGTATTATAATATTACTAACCAAAAGGTCACATATTCTGCAATTTTCAGACAATTAAAATACAATTCTATATTGTGTCTATTAAATCAGATTTTTCTTTCATTAATATAGGAGTACACACTCAGAAATTATGTCTACCTGTATTATTATATCTACCTGTCATTACGTCTAGCCACGTAATTACGCCTAATTATGTCTACCTGTGTCACTATGTCTACCTGTCTATATACTGTATACAGGGTTATTTTCGCCCCGTTTTATTTTCGCCCTTTTGCAGTTGCGAACTATTTTGCCCCGTTTTAAATTCGCCCAGTCATAGTTTAGTTTAAGAAATTATGCTGTGTAATTTGAATTCGCAGTTTTAAATTCGCCCAATCAGGAAGAGGGCGAAAGGGGCGAAAATAAAATGGGGGCGAAAATTTCCCTGTATACAGTATGTACCTGTGCCACTATACTGGATAGTTTCTGTTTGGTCTCCTCCTCTTCTTCACTCTCTTCCTCCTCCTCATTGCTCTCCTCCTTCCTCTTTCTTCTCTCTAGTTCTTTCAGCTGCTTCTCTATGAACTATCAACAAAGTGATTTTTAAAAATACATGGCTTTGATAGGTAACTAAGGTGAGTATGTATATATAACATTTTAAGTAAATAGTTTATCTGAAAGTCAGAAAATTTAATTTATATTACCTTTTTGGCTTTCTTTAAGTCCTCTTTGTATCTTTTAACAGTTTCTGTGGCTTCTACTAATTGGACTTTAAGATCAGTGCAGTCATCAGCTAGCTGACCTTTCACCTGAATTGGAGATTATTATTTAGGATCATTATCATGGTTACATTGTTAGAAGACATAATAATTAATGCATGACAATAACAAATAATGGCGATTTTCACAGAAATTATTTTTCTAAATCAATTTACATCAAATCTAACTAGAACTGTCCAAACGTGACAAAATACCCCCCGCTGGGTTTTTTCAGAAGTAAGTTTTTCCATAATAAAGATATGTATCACACATGAATTATGAAATTTTTCTTCCAGTGACCTTGAACTTCCCGAATGACCTTGGGTCAAGGTCATGACACACCCTTGGGTCATGGGCAATCTTTGTGTGAAATGAGAACCTACCAAGTTTATCCATAAAAAAGATATGGACCGGAAAGTATTATGAACTTTTCTTCCAGTGACCTTGAACTTTCCCAAAGGACCTTGGGTCAAGGTCATGACACACCCTTGGGTCATGGGCAATCTTTGCGTGAAATGAGAACCTACCAAGATTATCCATAAGAAAGATGTGGACTGGACACGAATTATGAACTTTTTCTTCCAGCGCTCTTGAACTTCACGAATGACCTTGGGTCAAGGTCATGACACACCCTTGGGTCATGGGCAATCTTTGAGTGAAATGAGAACCTACCAAGTTTATCCATAAGAAAGATATGGACCGGACACAAATTATGAACTTTTTCTTCCAGTGACCTTAAACTTCCCCGAATGACCTTGGGTCAAGGTCATGACACACCCTTGGGTCATGGGCAATCTTTGTGTGAAATGAGAACCTAGCATGTTTATCCATAAGAAAGATATGGACAGGACACGAATTATGAACTTTTTCTTCCAGTGACCTTGAACTTCCCCAAATGACCTTGGTTCAAGGTCATGACACATCCTTGGGTCAAGGACAATCTTTGAGTGAAATGAGAACCTACCAAGTTAATCCATAAGAAAGATATGGACCGGGCACAAAATATGAAATTTTTCTTCCAGTGACCTTGAACTTCCCCAAATGACCTTGGGTCAAGGTCATGACACACCCTTGGGTCATGGGCAATCTTTGGTTGAAATGAGAACCTACCAAGTTTATCCATAAGAAAGATATAAACCGGACTCGAATTATGAACTTTTTCTTCCAGTGACCTTGAACTTCCCCAAATGACCTTGGGTCAAGGTCATGACACACCCTTAGGTCATGTGCAATCTTTGCATGAAATTAGAACCTACCAGGCTTATACATAAGAAAAATATGGACCGGACATGATTATGAACTTTTTCTTCCAGTGACCTTGAACTTCCCCAAATGACCCTGGGTCAAGGTCATGTCACACCCTTGGGTCATGGACAATCTTTGTGTGAAATGAGAACCTACCAAGTTTATCAATAAGAAAGATATGGACCGGACACGAATTATGAACTTTTTCTTCCAGTGACCTTGAACTTCCCCAAATGACCTTGAGTCAAGGTCATGGCACACCCTTAGGTCATGGGCAATCTATGTGTGGAGTAGTAGATTCTAATGTCCTTCCATAAGATTGATATGGACCGGACACGTTTGCACGGACAGACGGACAGACAGACGGACGGGCGGATAGACGGACAGACGGACAAGGTGATTCCTATATACCCCCCCCCAAACTTCGTTTGCGGGGGGTATAATAATATTCACAACATTTGTAATTTCTCTTCTTACCAGTCACATTCAAAAGAATATAAAAACAAACACTGCATAGATTTGATAAAGCTTTTCTAAAGATGCAATTCTAAAGGCTAATTAATTTTTTAAAGACCATAACCAAGGAGAATACAACAGAAGAAAAATAAATATTTTAAAATTATTTTCATCTATGTGGAGCCATTATTCAAATGATTTGGGATTACTGAAAATTTTCAGATTTGTGTCATGTTTCATAGTAGAACATCTTGAAGTAAAACACATTCAATGAGGATGTTAATTTGTGGGTAAGGGTTAAACAAAAACTCAAAAAAAAAACATGAAATATAAATTCAAAGAAGTCTTCTATTAAGAGAAAGATTAATGAAGATTTATTTTAAAGATCAAAAATTTAGGGCATGCAAAGGTAGCAGCCGAAATATCGATATTGCCTTCGATATGTGCAGCAGGCACAAAGACAATTCTACCATCTCGATTTTCGGTTCCATCGTTTTTTAAATCGGGTTTTTAACTATTTCAAAAAAATGAAGTACTTAGAGTTAAGATTTTGTAACATAGTTTGACACACTAGGGAAAATGTTTCAGTTCCCTCTCAGGAGCAGACTGTCATTGCTATTATTTATACAAATAAATTTTAATCAATGACACCTGAATTTCATGAGATAGATATATAACTGGCATTTTAAAGGGAGCTAGTGAAATTATAACTACGAATGTAATACTGAAAAACACAATAATTTATATGATTTTTTTTCAAATTGAGGATATTTTGCACAATGACAGAATGTACTGAAAAATAAATCTGCAAATAAAAGTTATTTCTATTTTTAGACTTACCTTATTTACTTCCAAAAACGATCGTTTTTTCAATATATACCACAAGACTGTGCTGCAAAGCTAAAACTCTTGACTACAAAAGATACATGTATCTCATTAAATTATCTGGTTTACTTAATCAACTGAAAGATCAGTGTTTTGCTGGTCTGAAAAATATATTTCTAGTGTGTTTAATGATTTAATGTCACCCAAAGAAAAAACTGTATATTTTTGCACACAAAAAGTTGCCCTCTGTGCAAAATTGCTCCAGAAATTTTTAGCTAAAAATCTGCAAAAAATTCTTGATAATTTAAATTTTCTTTCATAATGATTCTTCATATGATTTAATTTTAATAGTGATAATAAAAAAAATGATTTTTAAAAGAATGACGATTAGTAAGACTATTTTCAATTTTTGATACGTTTCATTTTAATTTTGATGTCCTTACATATGCTATAACATTTTAACTGGGTCTTTTGTTGAATCAATAGCGGGAGGGCAGTACTTGAATTACAAGCTGTCATATCCCTAGAAAAATCTCTTGATATCACCATATTTGTGACATATAAAATACAGAAGTCAAAACATCCTTTTGAATACTTATGCAAAAATTATCTTTCTGTGAAAAATTTCAAAATGACATAATTGAATTGTGACACAAGTATTGCAATACGTATCGTATCGTGGAGGGGTTGTATCGTTTCAGCCCTACAAAAATTGCAATTTAGTTAATATGTGTATATATTTAAACATACCATGCAACATATCAGTTTTAGTGACTTTAAAGAAAGTTATATATATATACAGAAGAAAAATCCACTAATTTAAGCCAGCAATACATGAATTACCTGATAAATAACTAAAGAAAAATCTTGTGATTTTTATTCTGCTAGGATTTTCTACATTTTTCAAAATTATAATACCTTTTTTCCACATAATCATAATCATTAAAATCCATCATATTAATTTTGGTGAGTTTTTTCAGAGGTTGCCAAATCCTAGAACAATTTTTTTTCATAGTTTATTTATGTGGTATACATAATAATAAGAAATACTTACAATTTTCTCCCTCTTTATTTCTTTATTCAGTCTAAACATTAATGAAAAGAGGGTCATTCAACAACAAAGATTATGCTTGAAAATTATAACATTTTGGCACAAAAAATAAATTTATCACAATAAATATACATCCGAGTATAACTACCTCTTAACGATCTGTTGTTGCTTTTCTAATTCACTCAGCAGCTGATATACTTTGGCAGAGAGAGCTTTTGCTTCTGTAAAAAAAAATTAACAGCACAATCCTCATCCTTCATCAATATTATCATCTATTATACATACCGGTACACATATACATGTATCTGTAATAAAAACTGTCATTTTTTACATCTGAAACAGTTTTCCTTTGATATTAGCTCTTCAAAACCTATGGTCACGTTCTGATGAGAAAATTAAATGTAACTGTATTGTCACACTAAAACACACATGGCAATTCTGATACAGCAAAATTATACATAACACTGCCCTGAATTTTAATTGAGAAATATTGAAGATAAATAGTAATGCTGCAAACGTACTTTATTTACTCACTTACACTGTTCAGGCTTTGTTTTCAAATGTAACTTGAACAACGACGTCATTTGTTAGGCAGATGCATAAGTAGGGTGAAAAATCATTGTGTTTATGCTGTTAATCCAGGATGAAGTTATATCTGCAGGCCTACCTTCCGAGCTCTCTTCTCGGACTTTCTTCATCATTCCCACGATTTCATCAGCGGCATCCTTCCAGGGAGAAAAATCAGTGGTGTCTCCAGGAATCTTCATGGTTTGTATGCTGACTGGAAAAAAAACTTTATTTGTAGCATACACAGTAAAACTCAGTTATAACAAAGTACTGGGACCTATGAAATTACTTCACTATATCCGTAATTTGTTATATTCGTATAAGAAATTCATATAATTTATATAGCTGGGGATCCAAGAACAAGAGTCCCATAGGCCACAAAGCTCACCTGAGTGACCATGGCCCTTCAATCTTCATCATCTTTCTTACTAGCTACATTAAATCTCATTCTTCTGTCAATCTGTCAGTCTGTCACAAAAACTTAATCCTTGGTCATAACTTTTGAATGAGAACAGATGGAGCTTTCATAGTTCACATGTACATTACTTATGACAAGATCTTTCCACTGTGACCTTGAACTTGATGTCTGACCTACTTTTCAAAAATTTTAACATTAATTACCATTGGTCATAACTTTTGAAAGAGAAAAGATGGGGCTTTCATATTACACAAGTATATACATGTCATGTTCATAATAGCTATTCCTGTCTGAAAGTTCAATTTTTTAAAAATATCTGTGTCACTCCACTCAAACCGATCCATTATTTCTTGTGGTGTTGACTCGCTTATCCACTTCTTTCCCTTCTTCATGAGAACTCTTCATTCGATTTTTGTTGATTTTGTTATACATCTTGATAAGTCGTGTATGTGTTTTAAAATTGAAGTTTTAATAATTGAAACTTGTTCCCTTGCCTTAATTCTTTTGTTAAAATCTTTCTAATTTACTATTTTAACAAGTAGAATAAGTTAACGTACAAATTATCTTTTTTTAAGAAAAATAGTGTAAAATTAGTCCTTATTTTAATTTCATTTAAAACACTTTTAATGTTTTTAAAATGAAAATTTTAATGAAAAAATAATTATATAGAGATTGAAAATCAACAAATATTCATTTTAAGATATATCACAATTATATTGAACATATAGCATAAATTATTAAAAAATGACATTGCATACATTTTCTTTGTATCTTGATTATTTTTAGCAAAAAACTTCTGAAAATGTATTTTAAAGCATTGATAATAAATATGTTGGCTTTTTAAAATGACATTATAATGTTATCATGAAAAATGGTGATAATACATTGAAATTCATGAATAGAATAGAACACACTGGTTTGTGAGATGACTACTTTTACACAGGTCTAAAAAGAAGATTCGGAGAAGGAAGGTCAACCGCTAGCAAAAAAAGTCCGTTTTCACGGAAAAACGTGTGGTCCACAAAATATGTTGTGCAACAGTGAAGATTAAAAGACAATGTGTTGTGGTGTTACATAAATATATGTTTTAATAAATATTTTCCAGCAGAAGAATTATTTTAAAGACTAGATGTATTTTGCATCAATCTAGTTCGAAATTCCTCCAGTGTTGTACTTCAGATGAGAGATATTTTAAGTAAAGTGGAGTAATTTATTAAGCAGTTGACACAAACAAAATGTAATGAATTGATTTAAATCTTCGGTATGACAAATTTTGTGTAATAACATGTGTGTGTGTGTGTGTGTGTGTGCCCGGGGGGGGGGGGGGGTTTTAATTGGGAAATCACTGTTGATCACATTCAGATTGAAAGTGTAAATTAGTATATTTTTGGAAAATTTTATTTATAATAATTCATTATAAAAAGGAAATTTTCTAATGTACAGTAACAGGATTGGAGACCAGGAATCAGAAAAATCCTTGTATCCCAGGGCCTGCATCACTAGTTGGGTGCTCTTACATTACATTCCTTCCTCCTTGAATTGTCTTTGCCAACTAGGACACAAATCACGTTATTATTGCCTCTTGTAGTACTTTCACCAGCAAGTCCAATTTCTTGCCATATATGTCCAGGGGTGGTCAACAGCACCAAATTATGTAACAAGAAAGGAGAAAATATGTAGCTGGATCATAAATCAAACTTGGTCTGGTCCATCACATTTTTCTCCTCTCCCATTCATTGGATGCTGCGTCATGCCTTAAAAAGTGACAGTTGAAAGATCTGCCAGGGAAGAGCCTTGGTTAAAATCTCATGAAAGCCAAAGCAAAGACCTTTAAGGAGGGAGGATGTGGCAGTCAGACAGGTTAATTTGCTGATGGCCAGATAGCTCAGTGGGTACAATCAGAGAGCTCAAATTTAAATTCCAGTCTGGCCCATTATATTTTTCTTCCCATCCATTAAAATCATAGGCACCTGAAGTATGGATAATACCCCCCCCCCCCCTTTTAATAAAAAAAAAATGTAAGAGTGTATAATACCTCGAAAATATAAAATTTACCCGTCAAACACATCTATATGTCGTTATATGCAAGCAGAATGTACTTTTTCTCACGTTTAAAGAATGGCCCTATTCGGTATAATAAAAATACACAAGGTAAGAAACAAAAGTTGTAAACAAACGGGGGACCTCTGCTTTGAGACAGATTACCAAGATAATAATTAGTGTTACCTATCATAATTTTGCAAGCACTCTGTCTGGGAGATGTTCTTTTACTAGTCTCTTTAACCTAAACCCCGCTATTAGCGTTTGATATGCAGTAATCGGACGATTTTAATCGGATACATAAAATTTTCTCCATTGGCAGCGTTGGAGGAGGTTTTGGAGCTGCTTTTCTGTTTCGCCTTATCTGATTGGTTAATTGTAAACAGTTTACAATTAACCAATCAGTTAAGGCGAAACAGAAAAGCAGCTCCAAAACCTCCTCCAATGCTGCCAATGGAGAAAATTTTATGTATCCGATTAGTAAATCGTCCGATTACGGCATATCAAACGCTAATAGCGAGGTTTAGGTTAAAGAGACTAGTAAAAGGACATCTCCCAGACAGAGTGCTTGCAAAATTATGATAGGTAACACTAATTATTACCTTGGTAATCTGCCTCGAAGTAGGGGTCCCCTGTTTGTTTACAACTTTTGTTTCTTACCTTGTGTATTTTTATTATACCGAATAGGGCCATTCTTTAAACGTAAGAAAAAGTACAATCTGCTTGCATATAACGACATATAGATGTGTTTGACTGGGAAATTTTATATTTTCGAGGTATTATACACTCATATTTATTTTTTCATTAAAAAAAAAGGGGGGGTTATTTAATATCCATACTTCAGGTGCCTGTGATCTCGATCGAAGTATCATTCAAAATATTTTTTTCAACTCTTTGGAATTCTAATTGGCTTTTTCCTTATCAGTATTAAAAAGAACAATGCACAGAATTAGGGACCTTAGTAGTAAACATTACACAAATGTTCTCTTGTAAAACAACTCTTCCTGTACTGTGCATTCCCGCCATGCTTCATATTTACACCGGAAATTCAATTCGCAAACTACTACTAAACACATGAGTTTCCGGAATAAAATCTTACGCTGCTAATATTTTGTTTTTCTTGCTGGGATCAGCAGTCATTTGTTCTTGGATTCTTTTCAGCTTTTCAAATGTGGCCACAGTCTCTGCATAACTTTTCCTGAAATGTTGCAATGTTTTGATAAAGAAAAATTACAAGAAATTGACATTATGGTGAATTTCAATTTATTTCATACACTTTACAGTTTACACTATTGATCATTAAACGTATATAATGAAATAAAACAAGTATAATTACGAGAGTTCCATTTCCTCTTTCTCGCTTATTGTAGAACTGTCTCCCTGTAGAGAAAAGAAAATATTCTCAAAAATACGAAATTTTACCGATTTCTGAAGAGTTATAATTTCAGTTTACATGATTTGTACATATTCTGATTTGTGTATTAGCCTAATTTTTTCAGCTTTAACTTATTTTATTTCACACTTACCATGCTAGAATGATCTGTAGTGAACCACTAAAACGGAAAGAAAAAGATGGTACTTAAGGAGGCTGGGGGGTCAAGAAATAAACCACAAATTAACCACCAGATTTAACTTATTTTTCTAGATACGGTATCTTAAGCTGTCAACTATCATTTGGCAATGAAAAAAATCATACATTTTAGTTCTAAAATTTTATCATTTTTGTATATCTTTATATGGAGCTCTTCTTTTAAAGGAGATCAAAATAGTCTGAAAATGGCTGCCACCCCCAGCCCCTTTAATTAAATTAATATTGATTTTCTTGTGGATCTATTGATAGTGATTATTCAAATCAAGTGAGATCGAGTGTATTTATGTATACGCATATATATGTATATATGGGGGGATGAAGCTACATTCTAATGAGTCTTGTTACATATATCAATCTGCATTTATTAAATTCATTTTAAAATTTATATTATTAAGTTAACTCCCACCCTTTCCCGACATTTCACGTAGATGCAAAGAATATTTGTAATTCAAATTGAAAAAAAATCTTTTACATCATTATACTTACATCTGCCAACTCTAGAAGAAGCTGGAAAATGTCAATTTAATTTTTTAAGTACAATGCAACATTAACATTCGACTTTTAATCTGATCTAAAAAAAAATAATAATTGTTAAAGTTTTGAACTTGAAAGTTGAAACCTTTATGCTGTTCAAAATCATGAAAGGATAGTTTTATAAAAACCTACATCGTCTCGTTCTTTGTTCGCTGTTGCAACCGATGTTGACATTTCTTCGTATCGTCCAATGAAAACATTAAGTTGATCTCGCATCTGGAAAATAAATTTAAATACTCGTGTAAAATTCAAAATTAAGGAAGGGGGGGGAGTCACACAATGTATAGCGTAATTAATGATTCTTGAACAAACCTCTTCTGATTCAAGGCTGTTAATCCTTTCTCGTACTTGGGACACGTATGAATCTTTCTATTACAAGCAGAATATATACATATTTGTTAACTGAGGAAGTAAATATATTTTAAAAATTTTTGACTATCATGAAATTCTTGAATTTCTTACGTCGTTATATACTAGTATTTTGCTTGAACTTGGTAAATATTGTATTAAAGTACAATATAAAATTATAAATACATGTCACGATACTCGAAAATTATTCATCTGACTCACGGAGGTAGCTTCCGCTGAATATTCATCTAATGTGTCGTATGTGTACAGAGTCTGAAAAAACATAGAGATGATTAGTATAGAAACATCTTCAATTTCTCCTTTACGAATTTTAGAGAGATAAATATTCACCTTAAAATATTTTGCTTTTTGGGTTTTTTCCTTGTAAATTGTCGAAGGGGATCTTCCATACCCCCTGCTTATACATAATTTATCTGTATATATTTTTTCTTATACCTGATGAAGACGTTTGGTGATGTCCGATAACTCCTGTTTGATGACCGCTTTCTTTCTATTGGTACTGCTTACATAGACCGGTCCGACCAGTAGACTCGTATCGAAGGTCTCCTGATATGATGGATTTTCTTTACTCGATGAAACAATACCTGGTTGCATTTTCACGTCGGAAGATCCTTTCTTGCTTGCGATTTCAGGTTTTTTAATCATTTTCTTACACGAATAATTTTAAAACAAAATAATACCCAATCCCAATAAATTAATGTTATTCCCACCCAATATTAGATCCCATTTGAAAATTGAATTAGGAAAAATGTTACATATTGCTCAGTTGCCGGAGCCACGATAAGCACAAGTGATAAAGGCCTTTGTGATGTCAGCAATGACAGGACAGCATTGTGACGTCAATGAAGTAACAGCATAAGATCTATTATGACGTCACAATTCAATCATTTCTGTGATTTTTTTGGCTTTTTAAAAATATTATGAAGAAAATATATAACTTTCACGGCGTTCACTTTGCAATCATATGAAAAGCATTCTGGATACCGATAATGGCCATATTCAATCTATTCAATAAAGAAGTTAAGAATTAGCATAATAAAATTGTCGCATTTACTGAATTAGTGAGATTAAAGGCAATCTGCCTCTGAGGTCATAAAACTTAGACTCATTTTTGATACCAGTCCCACTTTTTCAAAAGAAATAATTATACAGTGTAGTTGAAAAGTGAGACTGAGATCAAATGTTAGCTCGTCTAAATTTTATGGCCCCATAAAGTTGATTTTCTTTATTTTTCATTTAAGTTGACAGATTTAAAAACTTTATTTTAAAGTTTTAAAAAGAATTATACACCCGATACACTTTATTTAAATAATGTATTTAGGTTAATACCTTTTTTTTCAAATGTGACCTTTTTCGTGTAAATTAACATTAGAGTTTGACTTTAAACAAGTGATTACAACTTACCTACACCATATCGATGAAATATTCCTCTTGGAACTTGTTATGCATATTTGGGGTGGGGTGGGGGTACATGAGGTGTAAATGCTTCGTTCTTACTCGAGTCAACGGATTAGACCGTCTTCAGACCGAGGGCCCTCACTGTTCAAACGTCAAGACCTTAGTGTCAGGTAGGGGTCTAAAATTGAAACACTCAGGTGTCAATATGAGGAAAAAAATCTCTGAGTGATGTATAATAAGCATCCAAAACTAGGCTCCAGGGGGAGTCGAACCCTCGACCTCCAGTTTACTAGACTGGCGCTCTAACCAACTGAGCTATGGAGCCGTTAGGACTGCATCGAAAACAATATTAAAGAGTTATCTCCCGCTTGCAACAGGTGGTCAATTCTCTCTCCATTTCTCTCTCTCTCTTTCTTTCTTTCTCTCTCTTTCTTTCTTTCTCTCTCTCTCTCTCTCTCTCGCTCTCTCGATATGCCCCCATATATTTAACATATAATGTCAACATGCACACACAGATAAAATCACTGGCGGATTTAGAGGGGGGCCCAGGGGGCCCGGGCCCCCCTTTTGAGTCCAAAAATATACACAATATTTGATAAATCAATGGGTTATTTTTGTGTGTGTGGCTGTGGGTCCCTACCCTGATCTCAATCTGGTCGCCCCCTCCCCCCTTTTCAAAATTTCTGGATCCGCCACTGAAAATCTGTGTAAAACCAAAACATTATCTATATTTCTACAATTTACATGTATATTAGAATGCATGTTGGATATATACTCAGATTATTTACAATCATCAATCAAGAATTATCAAGGGTTTCTATATGCACGAAAATATTTCTCGTTTTTTATCTGAAGGCCTATGTCAATGTACCCTTTTAATAAAGTATTCTGCCCCGTGCTCCTCCTCGATCCAGTCACCATGCAGTTACGGTATTTAAAAAAAAAATCCATAAAACGCGACAGCCCTCACATTTTGTTCTGAAATAAAATTGATTTATTTTATGCGCGCCTTTAGTTTATGGAAAGTTAATGGGTACTACATGTATATAATTAAGAAACATATACCCTTTTGTTGTTGATAACAGATCGAATTAAAGACAGAGTACATGAACAATATGTGCGTTATGGATCTAATAGATAAGGCATGTAACAATATTATCGTTACTAGTATTTGAAAGGCTACTTATTTTCAAATTTTAGAACTTTGTTCTCATCCTATGTATGAAAATCCTAATTATACGCAAAGTTCAGGAAATTCTTCAAAATCAATTTTCATGTTTTCAAAATTCTAGGCAAGGAAGGTTAGTTCAATTAATCTACCCAGCATATACCGGATTTTTAAACTTCATAAAAATCCTTAATTACAATTACTTGTAAGCAATAGGATGTGTTTGTGAAACACTGATGCCCAGTTCATGGCCAAGATAAAGCTCGAATGCTTGTCAAATTCCAAGGTCAAGGCCAAGAGATGAGAAAGGTTTCATTCATATGTCGACTAGATGTGTCTCGGTGAACTCAAAATTAAAAAGAAAACACCACCGAATCTGTTAAAGCAACACCTGTTATTTGTAAATGCTTTACTAACTAAAGAAGACTAGGACCAATGATAATCAAAATAATGCTTTTAGAATTTCATAATTAAGATAAAATTGACAACAGAAAATAGAATTCAATAATCATATTTGTAAAGTAGTTTAGATTTCAATGAATATAATTGACAACAAAATGATCGCCATACTTAAACTCTGGTAAGACAATTCATTGATTTCTTTGGAAAGTTATCTCTCTTATCAGAGGGACATTACACCTTAAATTTATGCACTAGCTCAATAATAATGAAGCATGAAACGAAATTATGTAAAAAAAAAACTTCCCGATTTAAATACGCAACAACAAAAAAGGGGTCGAGTAGATTTTAAATGAACTTTTTCAATGTTAAAAGGTTATATTTGTGCAAAAGCCCCCCCCCCCTCCCGATACAACGTGCCTTGCATCTTAAATCTTTTCCAATAGTTATATTTATGAACTACGTGTAGTAAAATTCCTGTGTATATTTAAATAGCCGGGTATAAGAGCAAGCATGAAAGGAATGCACTCAATGCAGGTACTTCACCGCTTGTAAAAATGTACGTGTTTACTCAAGTATGATCTGTACAGTCTGTATTTAAAAGAAAAGCGTGTACAACGCCCCAATTCAAAATTTATATATGCTTGCAGAATTTATTTAAAGGAATCGTTTTTCCGAGTTCATTTATAGACGAAGAGAAGCATATCATTAATTTCATTAATAAATTTCGTAATAAAAGTGAACAATGCTATCACGTTAACGTTGTAAAATCAATATATACCTGTGGGAGCCTGATTTCAGTCCTTAGATTTCATAATTAACCCCAATCAACTTTACGAAAGCAAAAGATGACAACCGCTTCTCAAGTCTGTGTTAATCTGTGAAAGACACGAAGTATCAGGAGGGGGGGGGGGTGTCTCCACTGTTTTCCAAACATTACTGCTTACCATGCTAGTTCACCCCCCCCCCTTACTTTTTGCTTTAGTTTATAGTCAAATATAAATATAAATATGATAAGGTATAAATAAGATATCTTAGGATTTGTGAGCTTGGACGTTTTTTTTCGTGGCTGTAAATATGCTTGTTTGTAAACAAATACATATCCCAAAAGTTGCACTATATATTTTCTTTAAAAAAAATTATTAGTTCTCATCGTCATAATTTTGATACGACTTTTAGTCATTTTCTGTGGTTTGAATGAAATTATGGATTACTTGAAATGTGTAAATATTGGTAAAATCTTTCAGTTTTAAAAATTCATGTAGATTTTATTTTGAATCGAAGACAGAGCTTTATGAAGTATTAAGACATCTTTCCATGTACTTCGAATTCAAAACTGGAACACATATTTTTTATAATCTTCTTATAATATGAATTATTTTAAAAAAAATAACAATTATATAGAAAATGTAACAAGGTAACGAATTCTGACTGACAATTATCATCCCGTTTATTACCAGTTTTAATTCTTAGTATATTATGTTCTACACTCATAACTGGAAGTACATGCATAATGGATTCTATATTTGGCACAAGAGAAAGAAGAATCAAGTTATCGATCCAAGGTGTTTGTGAAACCAAGCAACGCCACGTGGCGATATTTTACTTCAAGGAAAGTAAAGTAAAATCCAAACCAATAGCAAATGTAGTTCACCTACAAGGAAAATACTAACATTACGTATGTTTTATTTATAAATATGTATTACAACTTATAAGATATTTATAAACAATATTTCACAAACAAACAAAAATTAAAAAGATGTACAATGCTTGCACAGCGATATACTTTAATAAGACCATATTCTGTTCAGTGACGATGAGATATATAAAATTATATATTTATAATTTTTTAGGGGGGAGATGGGTAGGGGCACAGTATCACATTGTTGATTGATATCACTATTGTCAAATCTGAAACAAGTTCAATTCAAAGAAAGCTGAAAGAGTGTCAAATACATTAAGTTGAAAGAAGAGCAGACTTCCGTGATGTTTTTTTTCCTTTTTGCATGTTTTGAGATGATAGCACTTGTGGGACCTTGTTTATTCGACAAATAACAAACTGTACGTGAATGAAATATAGGAATTTAAAACACCCTTAAATAATGAGAGAGAGAGAGAGAGAGAGAGAGAGAGAGAGAGAGAGAGAGAGAGAGAGAGAGAGAATTGCAACGTATGCATTATTAAGAAGAAAACAGTATGTTGTTGATCACTAAAGAGTGGAAGAGGTTGCTGAAATTTCTAACCCCACCCCCAATCGACTCTCACCTCATTAATCTTGTTTGATATATTCAAACATACATAAAAATATTGCCGAATATTGGAATTCCATTGTTTTTGCAAGTAAACCATAAAATACCACACAGATGTACCCTCATATGGTTTATAGGCCTAGTATATATAAGAATTAACAAACCCGATCAATTCTTCAAAGTTACCTAAAAGTTAAAACATTATTTTTAGATGCAGAAAATTTTTTTTACAGGTGTCCAAGGAATAAATGGACTACTTGTACTTATTTATATATTGAAATAAAATGTATATATAGGTATATTTGAATTTGTGTAATATACTTATTTTTAGCAAGGCTAATTTCCCGTCAAGTTATTTATAACTTTCAGTTGTCGTCGTTATACATGTATGTATGTAACTTTTTGAAAAAGTTCTTTGATATTAGGAAAGAAAACTACAACAAACCTGATATGTTTACTTGGATAAGTTAATTGTTTTATTTATGACTATTATGCCAATGTATGATGTTGTTGTCAATAAATGAATTGAATACATGCTATAAGAGAGATAACTCTAAGTTCATCCTGACATTAATGGTATGCATATTGATCAGAGACACTTATTGGGTGTACTTATATATAGTATATAGATCAATCGGAATTGCTAAACTACGGAACAAGGAAAATTTTCTGGTCCATGCCTAAAAATATATTTCATATAAAAGGAAACTGATTTGTTTTGAAACATGGTATAACCAAGTTCCATGGATGCAGGATTTAATGGGGCTCTTAAAGTTTAAGGGGGAAACGAAAAAAAAAATATTCCTTGCAAATCATTGAGGATATGATTTGGATGCGCACTTTACTATTTGAAAACAAACATGATATAGATCTCATAACTCCTTGTAGGAGTTTTGAATACAGCACACGGTAACACTTTAGAAAAGCGCGTTGAAAATGATGCGTTCCCTACGCTGATCATAGTGCAACTCGTTAGATCTAAGTGGATTCTTTACAGCTGTTTTTAACACAGTAAAAGTTTGAACAAAGATGAATACATGTGTACGTTGCTTCTCGAGGAAAAATCACACAGATACACACGCACACAAACAATAATTTCTGTTTATTAAAATTATACACTATATAAATGAAAACTATATACATAGCCTCGCATCCCCTAACCATGCCTCTATTCACCCGAAAAATTAAAATATAGACAAGTAATTTGCAAAAATAGGTTAAGCTATATCTATGTAAAATTGCGTCTATACGCGAAAAGAAAGAGGAAAAATTCCAGTGATAAAATTTAAAATTGGAAAAAAGAAAAGAAAACTACCTTATACAGATCAGTCACTGAGAATAAAGACCAAGTCATAGAGACACCATTCTTAATTGTGTGAAATTAAACGATTAACAGAGACCTTTTTCTCTCTTTACAGTGAATTACTCGGCGTGCATTTTTATGCAAGTTTAGGCAGATACTAGTATTTTATCGTGACTTGTTCAAAGCGAATCTTCCTCGTTTGTGTTCGTAACCAAAATACCAGAAAGGAAATTTTAAAAATTCTATATTAACATCTTTTTCTTTGGGTGAGGAATAGAAAAACGTCTAATAAAACAGCTGATTGTGAAAAAAAAATCGAATATTCGATAGCCCTTTGTGTAATAATACTGTCGTGGTGACGTGGCCATATTGGAAACGAACTTTATTTATCTCCTAAATTCATAAAAAAAAAATGATTTTGGACGGAATTAACACGGAGTCTATCTCTTCCTCGGTAAGTCTGGCTTTTATATCTTTACGAAAATTGTTTTTATATGGAGGGGGAAAATGACTTAATGAGGCAGGTGCGAGAGTTCAATGGCGGTCATGTAGCCCAGCCCACTTTTATTATTTTTATATATAATTAGAACTTAGGTTATCCCAGGGAAAATCCAGAAGGGCAATTGCTTATGTTTTTTTCTGGAAAGGGGTATCCAAGGAGAAATCAGTCGGTCATGTGATGACATGAAAATGGGCTTGTCTGTAGTTTTTGGACGTGAGCCACATATCGCCATCTTGAATACAAAATTATATTAGCAATAAAAATCCATCTTCTTGTCGTTTACCATATAAATTTTACGCAATGTAGATAGATGAAATACTTACAAACGGGGAAAAATATATTGATAAGGAATTATAGACGATTTGTCATGAAATATACACATGTTTGAATGTACGTAAGATTGAGAAGAGGGAAGGATTTATAATAGATCGATTTTGTACCAGACACTTGAAATCACCCAGATTGCTAAAAACGTCTGGCATTCGGAAATTCGAAACAATTAATTGGGTGTACAAGAAGTGTGGAGGGTGAGAGGGGGGGGACCTACCATAGAAAACAAAGATCATCCAGCATTAATATTACTGAGAGGGCACAATCGTGGGTCAGTTGTGTAGTATGAAATGGCGAAATTAGCATTAGTTTTGTGTTCAATGAGAAAAGCAAAGATATGATCTTTAAAATTGATCTTCAAAAAAAAAAGCTATGAAAATACAAATTTGTTAAAAGGACACAAAACACGCACGATCGAGTGCCTATTGTATAAACTGGTAACATTATTGGGGACACGCCCCCCCCTCCCTTCCCCCTCCAAATTTCCAAACATTTAAGTTTTATTACTGATATTGTTCATTGAAAGGTTGACCCCCCACTCCATCCCAACCCACCCATGTGTGTAAGGGTGCGCGTGTCAGGGTACAATACATGTACGCTATATTACTATTAGTATTACATATATTGTTTGTATTAAATCTTGTACGCATTCAGTTTTGTTTGAAGAAAGGAAGCGAGCAAGGAAGTTACTCCAGACTGTTATTTTGAAACCCCTATAGGACATATATAGTCTCATTTTATTTAGTCGTAGGCGGATACAGAAAAAAAACACGCTTATTGATTCTTTGAAGTCAAACTACTAGTGATGGAAATCTTTCTTGTTCCTCCTATGTTTATCTAGCTTTTATTTGGCTTTTATTTTTCTCTATCCGCCTTCTAGATCCTAGATCCGCCTTCACATAGTACAGATATAAAAGAGTAATGCTTTAATTGGACAGTTTTAATTTAAGCATTATCTATATACATTCCGTTCAATGTGTGTGTTTTTATTTATGTATTACAGGTATCTATTCAAATTTTTATATGCTTGTATTGAAATGTTTAACAGTACCAATATTGCCTGGGAAAGGCGGCGAACAGCTAGTTTAGTCATACTTTATGCACGTATTCAATATAATTATGAACTATAACATTATACATGATTATGACTGTGTTAATACGGGGTTAAATACATGCAATTACTCTGTTACATGTAATGAAACATTTACATGAAATATAGTTTGCTGTTCTGGAAAAAAACTAGTATTCACATAAACTGCTTTCAGGAACTCCACCCCACTCCTTAGATCCGTTCCTGAAAATTTTAGGTCATATATTTTTAAGCAAAACAAGTTTGTATCTGTGTGTATATCTATGATATGTTAGGTTGTTTGATGATTTTGTGCGCCTTGTCAATTGTCATCGGTCGAAGATAATCCTAAGTTTATAAATTCTAGATTCAGATAAGAGTATGTAGTTATTGTGTCTCGGCCATGATAGATATGTTCTATTTACTCTACCGCCACAGGAATCCTTATTTTCTGACCTAAATTAAAATACTCAAATTGTCTATTTACCTGTTCTTTTTCTCACTTAGACAGAGTGTCTAAAGAAGTCCTATTATTCTTTATTTATAAGGTACACCAGGTATCAGTTGTCCAACTTTAAAAACATTTTCGGATCTTAAATTTCCCCAAAAGGAGTAAAAATGTATACTTGTTTAATGTTACTATTGTCATTTCTTCTATTGTTCAGGATTGCTCATACATTAGTTAGAAAAGAAGGAGGAGTATTTGTTAAGGTACAAAAAATAAAAACTATATATATACTGTCCATTCAATTAAACAAATATAATAGTTTTTAATTTACAGTATATTGCATAGCAATAGTGACGAGGTCTTTAAACTTTTCTGAAAAAATAAAAAATAAAAAAAAAAAAACATTTAAAGGGAAGATTTTGTTAAATATTTGTAGAACAAGGCACTTATAGTTCGTGGCTAACAAGTCCACACCTATTGAAGTGCTGTCTTCATACGAACGACGTAATCTCCAATCTAATCAACTTTTAATCGCTGATTTTGACTTTGGAGAGCTAAATGACAAGTTTTTCAAATGTTTTGATCCACCGATGATTTACACGAATTTTCTCACGTGCTTGGTGAGGCATATCAATTTTTATGCTTCACTTACAACAACAACCTATGATTCAGCATTTTTTAAAAAATCTGTCATGTATAGCAAATTATATATATATTATATATCGTGTATTAGGAATGATTCCGGAACTTTTAAGTACATGTATGTCGCAATATAGGTACTAGTATACAGGTACATTGTCCATAAAAGTGTTGAAATAATCAATCGACTGGTTTAATATGCCCTTTTGCAATTGCCTTTGCACAAAATATTTAAGACAATTTTTCGAAATGAATATCCTTTTGTAAACCCTGGGTTTGATTCAGGTGTCTTATAAGCATTTAGTGTTTTACTTGGATTACGGAAACAAGCGTCCGAAAACGATTTCATCTCCTTTTCCTATATATATGCATTTTTTAAATTTCCTATGTTAGTTGTACGTAGAATTTTATCTATATGATAAAGGGGGCAATAAGTGACACTTTCAATTTTAGGAAAATGTCCAACTATTTACCTTCAAAGAAAGAAATACTAAAGTGAAAGTTTGCGATTGATTATTTTTTGGAAACAAGTGACAAATGTACATGGGTTCATTTCTTATCTCCCCATTGTCCTTTCGCAATTTCGATATATTCTGCATTATCAATTACACGTGCATCTGATGTTGCGTTCATGGGACATTTCGTTCAATTGTCGATTTTTCAATACATGTACAATTTTCCTTCCTTCGAATCCAGTCTACTCATTCTAAAATTTAAAATTTCGGAAAAATCTGTGTGTCAAGAACGTAAACAGCTTTTTAAATAGATTGACGTTCGAGATAGGTAGTACTTATGAATGGTTTACATATCTGTTGAAAACTTCTATCACTACTTCTGTCTTATCAATAATGACACCAATCAATTACCTACTCATTGTCAAATTTATCAGGAATGACACCCAATCTCTCTCTCTCTCTCTCTCTCTCTCTCTCTCTCTCTCTCTCTCTCTCTCTCTCTCTCAATATGTTCACTGCAAAATCTTATACGTTCTAGAAATATATAATAATCATAGTCACTGTTCACAGTTGTCTTATACATGCGTAAATTTGTATATGTAGTATGTTGCTAATGCCTGTTTTTCCCATTACTTTAGCTATTTAAAAAGCATATATTGACCATGCATAAATAGCGAACTGTTCAAACAATGTAACCTTAGACAGTAATAATATTTAAATCAGAGACACTGCATACATTAAATGATATCGTTTGTCGATTAGTTTGACAAGCGAGGTAATACATCTAGTATCAGACTAAAGCTTTCAGATTTTAATAAAATGAAATAAAATAGATCTAAAGAATCCCGCCCAATAATTTTAGACGAATTCCGCTAGATTTAAATATATATATAACATACATGTATATTTTGTCCTTTCAGAGTGCGCTATTTCCCATGCACCAGTTTTTTCTTTAGCATATTTAAGAATATAAATAATAAATATAAGAGAGAAAAAACAAAAAGGTTCCAGAAATCAAAGTTTTACAACATATGAATAGGGCTTTTAATTTAATGAGAAAATGTTTACAAAGTTATTTACACGGAAAAATTAGAAGGGGTACAGATTGTCCATGAGCTCGGCTAAGTTTTTTTGTCGATCTTCTACAACACCTCTGTTTATGGAACGATAACTCTGGGTAGAGATTGCTCGTTTGTCGAGCAAAGGGAAATAACTCGTATTCTGTAACTTACTGCTAGTTTCATTTATTAAAAAGAAAACGTATTTTGCTGATATGGCCCCGTATATAATGCCTGTGATAAATTTAGGAGCATGATGTAGATCGATGGACTGAATTCAGTTCTCCAAAGTATTTTTTTAAATCAATGTGCCATTCGGTAATGGTATCTTTATGCTATCTAGAACTGTTTTAAAATGGTTTCAGCATTGAAAGGCCGACATTTATGGAATGCCATAAACGACAGCCAGCTGCTTACTGCCAACTGCTGACTGCTTACTGCCAACTGCCACACGTAATTGAATAAATTTTATTTCTAAAATTTATATTTATGTCAATTCAAAAAAAGGCGCGGATCTATAGGACTTTTTTTTCCCAAGAGGGTCACTCTGGTAAAAAAAAATCCAACCCAGAAATTTCTTGACAAGAAAAAAAAAATACATAAAGTCCTTTCCTACATGTGAAAATTTATTTCGGCCGGGGAGAGGGGGTTCTTATGCGTCATACCTTCATGTGTATGACATTTTTCAAACCTACTTAACATGAATCCACATTTTCGGCTGGGGAGGGGGGGTCTAAGGTCCCTTTAAAAAAGTTTATTTATTTCATACATTAAATAACTTTTAGTTGGTTTAGTTTGTGCATTAAACAACATTACAAATTTCAGAGGGGTGTTCCGGACCCCCTCTCTAGATCTTTGCATGTAAAACATATTTTATTTGTACAAACAAACAGATTTAAATGTTTGATCGGCGTTTTCTAAGTGGAGGGTCCAAGGTCAGTTATACCAGTAGT